GTATGACAATCCATACTTTTAATCAGTATTTGCTTTGTTTTAGCGAAAAAACGGATTTTGTTTTTTTTTTTTTTTGGAAAATAGGAATTTTAGTTTTTGACAAAAATTGGAATTTTTCTTTTGGTTTTTTTGCTGTAACTTGGCCAAAAATGGTCCTACACCAAAACTACATACTGTTTTGAACAGATAACAAAATTATCTATAAATCCAGAACACTTTTCGTGTGATTTTGGAAAAATAAAATTTTCTTCAATTTTTAATTTTTTTATAAGGGGGTACCCCATGATTTTTTGCGAAAAATTAAAAATAAGTAAAATCTCAAGGTTTAAATGCCAATCGTTAGGAAATTTAATAACGAGTTCAGAAAGGTATGACAATCCATACTTTAAATCAGTATTTGCTTTGTTTTAGCAAAAAACCGGTTTTGTTTTTTTTTGGGAAATTCGGGATTTCGGTTTTTGACAAAAATTGGAATTTTTTCTTTTGGTTTTTTTGCTGTAACTTGGCCAAAAATGGTCCTACACCAAAACTACGTACTGTTTTGAACAGATAACAAAATTATCTATAAATCCAGAACACTTTCCGTGTGATTTCAGAAAAATAAAATTTTCGCCAATTTTTAATTTTTTTATAAGGGGGTACCCCATGATTTTTTGCGAAAAATTAAAAATAAGTAAAATCTCAAGGTTTAAATGCCAATCGTTAGGAAATTTAATAACGAGTTCAGAAAGGTATGACAATCCATACTTTAAATCAGTATTTGCTTTGTTTTAGCGAAAAAACCGGTTTTGTTTTTTTTTGGGAAATTCGGGATTTCGGTTTTTGACAAAAATTGGAATTTTTTCTTTTGGTTTTTTTGCTGTAACTTGGCCAAAAATGGTCCTACACCAAAACTACGTACTGTTTTGAACAGATAACAAAATTATCTATAAATCCAGAACACTTTTCGTGTGATTTTGGAAAAATAAAATTTTCTTCAATTTTTAATTTTTTTATAAGGGGGTACCCCATGATTTTTTGCGAAAAATTAAAAATAAGTAAAATCTCAAGGTTTAAATGCCAATCGTTAGGAAATTTAATAACGAGTTCAGAAAGGTATGACAATCCATACTTTAAATCAGTATTTGCTTTGTTTTAGCAAAAAACCGGTTTTGTTTTTTTTTGGGAAATTCGGGATTTCGGTTTTTGACAAAAATTGGAATTTTTTCTTTTGGTTTTTTTGCTGTAACTTGGCCAAAAATGGTCCTACACCAAAACTACGTACTGTTTTGAACAGATAACAAAATTATCTATAAATCCAGAACACTTTTCGTGTGATTTTGGAAAAATAAAATTTTCGCCAATTTTTAATTTTTTTATAAGGGGGTACCCCATGATTTTTTGCGAAAAATTAAAAATAAGTAAAATCTCAAGGTTTAAATGCCAATCGTTAGGAAATTTAATAACGAGTTCAGAAAGGTATGACAATCCATACTTTAAATCAGTATTTGCTTTGTTTTAGCGAAAAAACCGGTTTTGTTTTTTTTTGGGAAATTCGGGATTTCGGTTTTTGACAAAAATTGGAATTTTTTCTTTTGGTTTTTTTTGCTGTAACTTGGCCAAAAATGGTCCTACACCAAAACTACGTACTGTTTTGAACAGATAACAAAATTATCTATAAATCCAGAACACTTTTCGTGTGATTTTGGAAAAATAAAATTTTCGCCAATTTTTAATTTTTTTATAAGGGGGTACCCCATGATTTTTTGCGAAAAATTAAAAATAAGTAAAATCTCAAGGTTTAAATGCCAATCGTTAGGAAATTTAATAACGAGTTCAGAAAGGTATGACAATCCATACTTTTAATCAGTATTTGCTTTGTTTTAGCGAAAAAACGGATTTTGTTTTTTTTTTTTTTGGAAAATAGGAATTTTAGTTTTTGACAAAAATTGGAATTTTTCTTTTGGTTTTTTTGCTGTAACTTGGCCAAAAATGGTCCTACACCAAAAATACATACTGTTTTGAACAGATAACAAAATTATCTATAAATCCAGAACACTTTTCGTGTGATTTTGGAAAAATAAAATTTTCTTCAATTTTTAATTTTTTTATAAGGGGGTACCCCATGATTTTTTGCGAAAAATTAAAAATAAGTAAAATCTCAAGGTTTAAATGCCAATCGTTAGGAAATTTAATAACGAGTTCAGAAAGGTATGACAATCCATACTTTAAATCAGTATTTGCTTTGTTTTAGCGAAAAAACGGATTTTGTTTTTTTTTTTTTGGAAAATAGGAATTTTAGTTTTTGACAAAAATTGGAATTTTTCTTTTGGTTTTTTTGCTGTAACTTGGCCAAAAATGGTCCTACACCAAAAATACATACTGTTTTGAACAGATAACAAAATTATCTAAAAATCCAGAACACTTTTCGTGTGATTTTGGAAAAATAAAATTTTCGCCAATTTTTAATTTTTTTATAAGGGGGTACCCCATGATTTTTTGCGAAAAATTAAAAATAAGTAAAATCTCAAGGTTTAAATGCCAATCGTTAGGAAATTTAATAACGAGTTCAGAAAGGTATGACAATCCATACTTTAAATCAGTATTTGCTTTGTTTTAGCGAAAAAACCGGTTTTGTTTTTTTTGGGAAATTCGGGATTTCGGTTTTTGACAAAAATTGGAATTTTTTCTTTTGGTTTTTTTTGCTGTAACTTGGCCAAAAATGGTCCTACACCAAAACTACGTACTGTTTTGAACAGATAACAAAATTATCTATAAATCCAGAACACTTTTCGTGTGATTTTGGAAAAATAAAATTTTCGCCAATTTTTAATTTTTTTATAAGGGGGTACCCCATGATTTTTTGCGAAAAATTAAAAATAAGTAAAATCTCAAGGTTTAAATGCCAATCGTTAGGAAATTTAATAACGAGTTCAGAAAGGTATGACAATCCATACTTTTAATCAGTATTTGCTTTGTTTTAGCGAAAAAACGGATTTTGTTTTTTTTTTTTTTGGAAAATAGGAATTTTAGTTTTTGACAAAAATTGGAATTTTTCTTTTGGTTTTTTTGCTGTAACTTGGCCAAAAATGGTCCTACACCAAAACTACATACTGTTTTGAACAGATAACAAAATTATCTATAAATCCAGAACACTTTTCGTGTGATTTTGGAAAAATAAAATTTTCTTCAATTTTTAATTTTTTTATAAGGGGGTACCCCATGATTTTTTGCGAAAAATTAAAAATAAGTAAAATCTCAAGGTTTAAATGCCAATCGTTAGGAAATTTAATAACGAGTTCAGAAAGGTATGACAATCCATACTTTAAATCAGTATTTGCTTTGTTTTAGCAAAAAACCGGTTTTGTTTTTTTTTGGGAAATTCGGGATTTCGGTTTTTGACAAAAATTGGAATTTTTTCTTTTGGTTTTTTTGCTGTAACTTGGCCAAAAATGGTCCTACACCAAAACTACGTACTGTTTTGAACAGATAACAAAATTATCTATAAATCCAGAACACTTTCCGTGTGATTTCAGAAAAATAAAATTTTCGCCAATTTTTAATTTTTTTATAAGGGGGTACCCCATGATTTTTTGCGAAAAATTAAAAATAAGTAAAATCTCAAGGTTTAAATGCCAATCGTTAGGAAATTTAATAACGAGTTCAGAAAGGTATGACAATCCATACTTTAAATCAGTATTTGCTTTGTTTTAGCGAAAAAACCGGTTTTGTTTTTTTTTGGGAAATTCGGGATTTCGGTTTTTGACAAAAATTGGAATTTTTTTCTTTTGGTTTTTTTGCTGTAACTTGGCCAAAAATGGTCCTACACCAAAACTACGTACTGTTTTGAACAGATAACAAAATTATCTATAAATCCAGAACACTTTTCGTGTGATTTTGGAAAAATAAAATTTTCTTCAATTTTTAATTTTTTTATAAGGGGGTACCCCATGATTTTTTGCGAAAAATTAAAAATAAGTAAAATCTCAAGGTTTAAATGCCAATCGTTAGGAAATTTAATAACGAGTTCAGAAAGGTATGACAATCCATACTTTAAATCAGTATTTGCTTTGTTTTAGCAAAAAACCGGTTTTGTTTTTTTTTGGGAAATTCGGGATTTCGGTTTTTGACAAAAATTGGAATTTTTTCTTTTGGTTTTTTTGCTGTAACTTGGCCAAAAATGGTCCTACACCAAAACTACGTACTGTTTTGAACAGATAACAAAATTATCTATAAATCCAGAACACTTTTCGTGTGATTTTGGAAAAATAAAATTTTCGCCAATTTTTAATTTTTTTATAAGGGGGTACCCCATGATTTTTTGCGAAAAATTAAAAATAAGTAAAATCTCAAGGTTTAAATGCCAATCGTTAGGAAATTTAATAACGAGTTCAGAAAGGTATGACAATCCATACTTCTAATCAGTATTTGCTTTGTTTTAGCGAAAAAACGGATTTTTTTTTTTTTTTGGAAAATAGGAATTTTAGTTTTTGACAAAAATTGGAATTTTTCTTTTGGTTTTTTTGCTGTAACTTGGCCAAAAATGGTCCTACACCAAAAATACATACTGTTTTGAACAGATAACAAAATTATCTATAAATCCAGAACACTTTTCGTGTGATTTTGAAAAAATAAAATTTTCGCCAATTTTTAATTTTTTTATAAGGGGGTACCCCATGATTTTTTGCGAAAAATTAAAAATAAGTAAAATCTCAAGGTTTAAATGCCAATCGTTAGGAAATTTAATAACGAGTTCAGAAAGGTATGACAATCCATACTTTTAATCAGTATTTGCTTTGTTTTAGCGAAAAAACCGGTTTTGTTTTTTTTTTGGGAAATTCGGGATTTCAGTTTTTGACAAAAATTGGAATTTTTCTTTTGGTTTTTTTGCTGTAACTTGGCCAAAAATGGTCCTATACCAAAAATACATACTGTTTTGAACAGATAACAAAATAAAAAATAAATCCATGACACTAGTTAAGGTCACCAGTTATCCTATATTCAATCCCAAATGAACTCACCGAAGCCACAATGAACATGACGGATCCAAAGAGCCGCAGACTTCTGTTATACCGCTGTTCCAGGTACTGAAAATAACTTTTAAAATATATGCGGCACAGGGAAATCATCATAATAAGCCCACCTTATAGGTGGAAATCAAATTGAGTTCGTGGAAGACCGGCAGGAAGAAGTAGTACATGCAGAAGCCCATCAGGACCAGCGATCCCATGATGTACATGTACTGGGCCCCATAGAGGTAGACTTCCGTGGGAGTGCCCAAAAGCGTGATGCCAGATATGAAGCTAGAAATAAAGATTATTATCTATAATTAGATAATAAATTAGAAATTTCTTCCTGTGTAGAAACGCCTTGACCTTCACACCTTACATCCATCATTTAAGGGAGATCAAAGTGCGTTTTATGCAATTCAATTAGCACCAATGTCGTCGTCGCAATTCGCTGGTGTCCAAGTCAGGTTTCGCGAAATATTCTTTGGATTCGGGATTGTGGGATTGGGGATCGGGGATTGGGGATTCAATAGATGTGGACTCGCAGTCGTAGTCGCAATTGAGCGACGCCAATTTGAATGCCCTGCTTATATGCGGGTAGCTCGAATGTGGAAGCCCGCGAACGTGGAAGCCAATTATTAATTATGAAACATTTTGATTTGGTGCGTTGATAGGAGAGATGCCAGTAGACCAGTAGTATGCTAAAAATAAGCGACCGACTATAACGAGTCGAAACTGGAGCAAACTGCGACCTACGCTATATGTCGGCACTTTTTTAGTGGCTAGTTGGATCCAGAGACGAGCTCTCGACTCGGAGAACTTTGATTAATTTCCTCTTATCTCCGGCTCATAAAGTACTTATACTTAACCGTGAGAAGAAAGGGGTTTCCCATCTGGAGAATATAATGTATACCAAGCAAGTGGCTAAATTCGAAAGAAATTGTTTCTAATTCAATTGGTTTAAAAGTAATAATAGCTTCCTTTAACTTTCGCGGTTATTTTTGGGGTTGAGTATATCTCTTATAAGTTTAATGATGATGATACGAAAATTTGTATGTTATCCAGCGTTTACATGCATATTTTTTCCAATAAAAAAAGGGTTTTTATTTACAAAAAGTTCAGTAATATTTTGTAAATTAACATAAAATTTAGTCAATTTAAAACAAAGGGTTTTCAAGATCTTGTAGAAATAGTGATATAAAAATATAATAAATAAAAAAGTGATATATTTTTTTAAATACAAAAAGTTAACTAACCTTTTGTAAATAAATATAAAATGGGAGTTTATAGAATTAAAATTTATTTTTTATTGATTTTTTTTTGTATTTCTGCCTAAAAGTGTGCTTTGTGGTTTGTATAGACCTTCATATTTTCTTTCCTATTTGTATGAAGTATTTTTAATGACCAGAGACTTAAGTAGCTCTATCACTCACCTGGATATCAGCGACATGGTGATGGGGAAGATCTTCATCTGCCTGCCGCCCACCAAATAGGAGGCAGCACTGCTCGCCGCCTCCTCGGAACCGGAACCGTGGGCCTTCTGCTTCCGGGACTCCCTTCTCAGCTGGAGGCAGAAATATATACCAATTACGGCGCATATGGCCAGCATCAGGCAGAAGACAAGGTAGTCCAGCCAGCCGAAGCTCTGCAGACTGGCCCTCAGCTCCTCCACGTGCATTTTCCCGGCACTTTTCACCCGTCACTCACTCAAAAAAATAAGAAAGAATGAAGGAAAAATGAGGAAAGCACACCGATCGCACCGCTCGGAGGCACGCATCAGAGGTGACTGGTTTCCAGATTTCAGATTTCAGTTCCCCAGATGGAAGTGCAATTGTGCTGTTCTGTTGCCACACAAAAGCACCACCGACTATTATTGTTTTATATTTTTATTAATGATATTATGACACACACTCAAGCGAGAGATCGTCGTCACTTTTCGCGTGGCAGCTGCGATGGCGACTAGAAACCGAAAACTTTTGCCTGAATTTGGATTTGGAGCAACAGCTGACTGCCGGCGGACCAGCTGATTTTTAGAGAAGAAAATAAACCACCTTAAAAAGCAAAAAACAGTCACCCACTCGGCTAATTGAGTTAGTGGCTGTAGAGCAAATTGAGTCGCCAGCGGGCCACTTGAGCCAACGCGTTGTCTTTGCCTTGGAGAATTCAGAGATCGAGGGATTCCGGGATTCTGAGAGCAAATTGGTTACACAAAAACAAAAGAAGTATCATGTTTTTACGCATAAACATTTTTATATTCTAAGCATTTTGTGAAGATATTTTTTTATATTTTTATGGACTCTCTACTAAAGTTAATTTTTACTATTTAAAATTTGAATCGATTAAAATTTAATGAAAATTTTTGTTTTAAATACCTTGTAGTTTTTTCAATATTTTACTGTTTGTTTAAAATGTTCTTTAGAACCTTGAAGGATTATCTTAGATATTATTTAATTTTTATTACTGTTTGTTAAAAATATTCTTTAGAACCTTGAAGGATAATATTAGATATTATTTAATTTTTATTTCGACTAATTAAATATGTCTTTTAAGAATTTAAGAATGACATAGAGCTTTTTAAAAAATACTGTATAATTTCTCAAATTTTCCTGTTTGCTTTAAATATTCGTTAGAATTTTAAAAGGTTTCCTAGATTTTTGTTGCTTTAGCTTGCCTACAAATTTCACTAACACTTACTTTAAATATTTCTTCAAGTGCAGAAGGAATGGGGTGCGACTGTGTAAATTAAGTTGATTAGATTTAGCCGGCAATTTGTGACCTCCCTCCTGCGTCGCACTCCAATTTTCCATCCAAAAGCGATCGGCACTTGGATTGCGGTCTCGGATTTGCTTATGTAAGCTGCGGGTGTCAAGCGAAGGAAAGATAAAATAAAATAAGATTTCTTTGTTTATTTTGTACTTAAAAATTATGAAGGAACGAAATTGAATTTATGGGAATTTCTATGAATTCCAAGGGATTTCTAAGAATTTAAAGATTAAATTTGTGCTTAAAATTTTATTTTCAAAAAAACAAGACAAAATAAAAAATAATAAACTGCAGAGCTGCTAAACACGATTTAGTAGACCGAGCGAATTGGATGCGTCCAAAACCTAGGCCTGCAGATCTTCAGGCCAAACATTATTTCCATTTCTAACGCCAGGATTAAGACCTGTAAGTCAAAAGAAACATAAAGGATACACAAATCATAGTGATATTTTTTTTATATTTACCCGGCGTAGCTCCACTCATGGCCAGGATCGAACTGGTTAGCTCCTTGATGGTACGCTCCATTTCCCCAAACTTGGCCAAATCATCGGCCGAGGGAGCAGCCCAGCATTTTTGGCCCATCAAAAGGACCAGGGTCAGGGCCAGAAGGAAAACAAGTGTGTATTTCATTGGTTTGATGGTAAATAAACTGTGCTGCGAATTCCAGTGAGCTTTCCCTATTTATAGATCCGTTCTTATCAAGATATTTTCATGGTCCATTACTGGATTTAAGTTCACTTTGCTTCAATGCCTGTCAAATGACCCATAACTTAAAAGCCCAAACCGATTTTATCGTGGCCTAATATGTTGAATATTATTTGGGTCTGCCTCTAAAAAGAGATATATTTTAAAAAAGGCTTACAAAAATAATAATCAACAAAAAAGTAGCTAAACTATAATTCCAAAAAATGTTTAAATCAGTAAAAAAAACAAAATGTTAAGAGCATTTCAATATATTTTTTTTTAATATTTCATGGACCCTAGAACTACAATTAAAATAAAATAATATATGCTGAATATTTAGGAATTAAACTAGAAACTTTTAGAAACATTTTTTAATTTATGTACTGCCTTGAAATGAAGTATGATTTTATATATTTACATTTTTTTAATAATTTTCAAAAGCTGAAAAATCTAAAGAAAATGCAGATGCCGGTAGCTTCAGTTTTCAGTTTTCTGTTTTCAGCTTCAGCTGTTGCAAAAAGCGTCTGCACTTTTGCGGCAATCGAAGCATAAAATGAGCAGCAAGTGCCACTACACACACAGCTGGAGACACACTCACACAAATGCATCGGCACACACACACAAGCGAATCAGAATCAAAAATTGTATGCGTTTTGCACCTTGAAAATGCGTTGCAGTTGGTACCCACTGAATTTTTATTCACGCCACTCACCAAATGAATACGGAAAACATTCAGAATGCGCTACATTTTCCTAGTTGGTTAGATCGACATTTAAAACATTTGAAAAGGCAATACAAATATGTTAAAAGCCATATCTTATTATTCTTAAATATCATTTTACAAACTATTGCCTAAAATTTGGAAATTTGACAAAAACATTTTATCATAATCAACTTATTTTATATTTTTCTAAATATTTCTAAATGCAAATGTGGAATTTTAATTGTAAAAAAGGCAAATGATTTCTGAAATACTTTGTTAATCGTATACCAACTTTTGGTACAGCTCCCTTTCAGATCTTCATAACTCTATGATTTCTATGCGGTGCATATATCTTCTTTTTTTGTGATTTCCCTGGCTGATTTTTCCCTCGCATTTCTTGTTTATTTTATATGTTTTTTTTTTTGCGCTGCAGCGTCAACGGCAAATTAATTAATTCCAGTGGAGCGATTTTTCAAGAAAAAGCCCTTTTCCCACACACACATCCATACGTCTACGTATATGTTTATATATCCGCGACCGTCCCCCACTTTTGGTGGGCCACTCAAAACCGTTTCGCAGGTGTTGTAATATTATTTGGAATTATGTTGGAATTTCTTGTTTTCTTTGCCCCCCATGTGTGGCTGTTTTTCCTTTTTTTTGCGTCCCTGCTGCTCGGGAAATGCCATGAAAATTATTTGCTTTTTAATTTTGTTTCAAGTTGCATATGTCTCTCTGTACGCGTATGTGTTCGTTGTTTATAGCTAACTTTACAGTTGAGAAAGCATTTGTTAAGTGGTTTTAATTAGTTGCCCCGACTTTTCCCACACCCTAGTTTTCCTAAGCCTCCTTTGGCCGTGTTTGTGATTACATATCCTGCTGCCGAATTCCCACTGAAGTGTGCAAAAATACTATTTGCTAAAAATAGAAAAGAAGAGAAAATAATCTTAAACTGTATAAAAAATACTTATATTTTTAAACCAAAAACTGAAGTCTTTTGTTATGGTTTTTCATTCGTAATTTGGCCTAATCAAGACCCACAGTTGAAGGAATGACTGTTCTAAGCAGCTAACAAACCAAACTAACAATCCCCATCACTTTTGAGAAAATAATAATTTTCAAAAATTTTCGCATTTTTGAAATTATCATGATTTTTTGCAAAAAATTGCCAAAAATTTAAAGTTTTAGATTTGAATGCCAAACGATTGTGAATTTAATTACGAGCTCAACAAGGTATGACACTCCGTTTTTTACCTTTTTTTACGCCATTTCGTAAAATAATACTGATTTTTCATCAGTATTAGAAATTACAAAATTATTTACGGAGCGGTCGAAACTATTTAAAAAAAAAACACTTAAGTATCGAACCCTGTTATATAAAGCTTCCTTATAAGTAGCACAGAAAGAACCCAGTCAATTTTCGTAGTTACCAACTAAGGCTGCAGCAATTAGATGTGGAAAGTGGAAACACACCCTGCCGCAGTGACACTCTACATATGCAAATGTCCCCGAAACGCCCCCTCTCCATATCACTCCACCCCCCCTTTTTCAGCGAGCCACTGTCATTCACACTTCGGTCGTCATCAGTGGGAAAGGCATGTAATGGGATTGGGTGCTGCCATTTACAATATTTATCAAGTGCGCGAAACGAAACACACCCAAAAACTGGGATAGCGATTAGCCGGTGGCACTGAAAATGGAAAGTGGAGTGTAGAACTGGGAGAACTGGGGAACTGGGAGCAGGACTCATATATTAAGGGCTTTGGCATCGTCATCGGGCCTATGCGTGGCCCCTAATTACATCGCATTGTCATAACAAAATTGAGCGCATTTGACACGCAATTGCCCCACAGTTGGCAGTGCACTGAGAGAAAAATGTAGGTTAGGTTTTTTTAAAATGATAAAATAGGATGATATATGATGTTTTATATTTTCTAGTATGTAAACTTGAGATATTTATGTTTATTTAACAATAATAAAATTATATATTAAATAATAAAAATAAAAAATAGAATAATAAAATTATATTTAAAATAATTATTAAAACAATAATTCTAGATTTGTTAAAAATGTTTTGTATTTCATAAAAAATAGTCTTTTTATGTTTTAAAAACATCGTTATATTTTTTCTCAGTTTTTTCCACGATGACATGTGAGAAATGCCACCGAGGTCGTCAGGAGTCAGGAGTCAGGGGTCAAAAGTCGGAGGGACTGTTGCATCAGCCCAACTAGATAAGAATTAATTGTTCAATGGCACGCATTGCACTAAATATTTGAATATATATATGTAGACCCCTTAGCTAGCTCTTCCCGTTAATCGGATAAAATTCATAATTATTGTTATTACTGTCATTTTTCTAATGACCCGACCCACCCGCGCACCCAAATTGCGTGTACTTTTCTATTAAGATGAGCTATCAAACGCACTTTTCCGACTGCGCTTGACTTGTTTGTTTTGAGCAGGAATCCCGATTTCGGTGGGCTAATGCCAACTACCATCTACCATCCCTCGGATCTTCGATGGCCACGCAACGCACGCGTAAATTATGTAATTAAAATTCCGCACCTTAATTCGGGCAATTTATTACACGAGCTTTTGACTAATTGGATAACGATCTTTAACTACTATATGTCCACTAAATACAGGGCACTCGCTGAGCACTGTGTGTATTATGGAGGTCGCTGATGTGCTTATGAGTTCATAAGCGATTGCATTCGCCGATAGAGCCCGCAATTAATTGAATTTTTACCGAAAGTCGCTCCGAAGGTGTGTGGAATCCAGCCGAGTGATTAACTATATGGAAATTTTTGGGCTTAAGGGGTGGGAATGCGTAATTTGGAAAGGTTTTCACTGTTCATTTACCTAATAAATCAGTAGATTAATTAGGCGGCATGGACATCAGTTTTAGACTTTGTAAAATAAATATTTAATTAATAATAAAAATTTTGCAGCACTCGGGTATTGTTTAGAATGAAATAAGTAACTAAATTATTTAAAATAACATTTAAACCAAAAATAAATATTTTGCTATACTCTGGAATTGTTTATTAAGGGAATTGGCATGCCAGCTGGGAAACTTTACACATTTTTTTGATTAGTCTGTTAAATCAAAAAGATCGGATGGTACAACGAAAACTCGGGGTGCGGGACTTGCATTTGTAGAGTTTCCGGATCCTGCAGGTGTAGTTTCATTGCCTGAAGATCCTGTTGATCCACCTGAACCGGATCCACCTGAACCACCTGAGCCGGATCCACTTGACCCACCTGAACCAGATTCATCTGATCCATTATCCTTGTCGGGACAAAAAAAAAGGCTAGGAATAAATTGGCACATATAGGTTGGCAGTCTGAATATCTGAAAAATTTGCAATATAATAATAATTAAAAATAACAATAAATTTAATAGTTACTTCTTTAAACTAATTGTAGACTTACGGCTGTAGTTGGGGCTTGGAAACTGCAGAAGAAGGCCAGGAATAGGCCAAGAATGGCTAGAGAAATCTTCATTTTGTCTTGGAAGTATTCGAACTGATTTTCGAAGCTTCAGAGCTGCGATATTTATGGGGAAAATTTTGGTTTCTGCGTTCTACGATAAGAATTTTTTTACTGAGGTCGTGTCCCAATAATACAAATCGTGAGATTCAAGGCAGTCATGCTAATGAATACTAAAACCATGCACGAAATCAATTCGCTAGTGGTTTAAGTGCTTAAAGATAAAATACAAATTTATAAATAATAAGGTTAAGGTTATAAATAAAATAAATAATAAGGTTAAGGATATAAATAATAATGTAGAAATATTTATTAATAAAGCAAGAGTAATGGTACAAAATTAAAGAAACAATTGGTTATTTTTTTAATTTTATAAATACCATTTAAAATTCTGGTTTTATCAAAATGTTTGATCATTAAGCTAGAAACTTCTTTAGTACCAAATCAAAGCTAAGGAATTATTATACTCCATTTAATGTAGTAATTAATTCTCTAAATAAGTCACTAATCCTTAGTGCGTGCTGTGATTTATTAAAATTTCTTTTAAAGTTTAAAAAAATTATGAACATATGGTTATAAAATGTATTAAAATTTAAAGGGTTATTTGATTAAAATATAAGTAAATAGAGATATGCAACATACAAAAATTCCGAAATTAAAATGCAGGTTTTTCTTATATTCTTTTTATAATTGTTTATTATTTTGGCTCGTTTAGTAAGTTAAACATTTTTCCAATAAAAAAATTACGAAATTCCTTTCCTATACAGAAATATAAAACACATTGAATATTTTGCAATGCTTGGGGAATTTATTTAGGGCTTGGCATGCCAAAGTGCAAGCAAAAAGGAATTAGTTGCAATAATATAAATTCAATATTCTGGTTCGGTTTATTGGCTGGTACATTTCCTTATCGCATGGTTTAAGCGGGTCCTCCAGCAATCAAAGTAGGAACTCCCAAAATCCGTGTGGAGCCTGTAGTTGAGTTTCCGGTTGCAATCGTAATATTCTCATTTTGTGAAAAAATTGTAGAAAAATTGCATACATCGCAGATATAGCCAATGAACGGAATGAACGGAAGAGAACAGAATATTTTTTCTTGCGTTGCCAGGAATGCTTCAATGTTTTGGTTGCTGATACTCTAAAAAAAAAATTATTCACAAATATATACAAAAATTTGTAAAAGTATCTTACGGTAGTAAAGCCGGTGCAGAAATTCACATTAAGGGGTTTGAAGTAATCACAAAAGAATTTGGATTGGTTATATATCACTTGGATGGTACACTAGAAGTAAATACATAAGTAAATAATGTTGTTTTTTATGGATATATATAATACACATTAAGCAAACTTACATTCGTTGCACTCGAAGCATTCATCGGGCTGCAGAAAAGAGCCACGAAAAATCCTAGAATTGCAAAGGTAATCTTCATCTTGACTTGTTGGTGGATGGAAACTGATTTAGGAAACCTCCAAAAAGCGGTATTTATACATATTTGGTCTCTATACAAGTTTAAAGATAAGTACAAAGTCTTAATACAAATCGTGCAGGCTTAATAATAATAAAAAGTTAATGAGATTCTAAACGTAATAAAAATTAAAATTATAATTGAAAAAAAATATATTTCCATTTCACGAAGAAATAAGTTATTGAAGAACATTTAAAATTATTATAATATATTTAACATTTAATATTCAATTTCCATTTCAGAAGAATAAGTTTTTGAAGAACATTTAATATTAAATATTATTATAATATATTTAAAATTTAATATTTAATTTTCATTTCCCAAAGAATAAGTTAATGAAGAAAATGTAATAGAGCAACAGTGATTGTTATTTTTATTTCTTTAAAAATTTCTCTGAAATGCATAAACAATTTTGACTTAATATTTAATGTGGAGCTGCCATATTTTCGCTATTATCAGCGACCGGTGGTCATAATTCACAAACAAACACGACAACTGACACTTTTTGTGCCCGTACATCACACACAAATTGCTCACTGTTTTTTCCTTCGTATTTTTTCCATTCACGTTCTGGTCAATAATTCGCACAGCCATTGATGGAAATTAAAACACAAATCAAACGGCGGCAGCGGTAGCGGCATAAAAAAGCAATTTCCATCATTAAAGCGGGCAATTGAATGAGTCAACAGAGGCCGACAGGTGAATCGCAAAGGTGAGAAGTGGGAGTGGGAAGTGGGCGGAGGGTATGACGCCGTGGGCTAAAAATAAACCCTATATACCATATACAATATATACTAGATGTTTTACTGTAGTACAGTGTTATTAGGCAGGGTCAACGGAGCTTTTTCGGTATGCGGCACACGTGGGTCCCCGATTATAATGCCTTCCAGCCGATTTGCTGGGCTCAATTCGCTCGGCGGCTCTGCGGTTTCAGTTCGCATTCGCCGCTCAACGTAAAATGTTGTGAGGTTCTGATTTTGACCCCCGGCAAACAAAAATATAGCGATATTTCCAGCGATTATGGTTTTTCTCCTCAAACTATTGGCCCTTTTGGCAGTGGGCGCCATTTCTGTACAAATGGTAAGTGGGAAATCAATATAAAGTGTGGTTTTCTTTATTATTTTTTTTAAATATTAATATTTAAGTTTAAAAAACGTATAGTACATTTATAAGAAATGGAATTAAATATTTATTGATATTAAATATTTCACGAATTTTCAGGATATTTATAGGATATTTATTGTTATAGTTATAGTTACATAGATATAGCTCTTCAATAGTTAATGGAATTTTATTTAGATATTTATCGAATATTTCTTTTATTCAGACCCTGGCCCTGGAGTTCATGGACGAGGGATCTTTTGGAAACGATGAGGCCCACCATTTGGATGAGGAGTCTTCGGCTGAGGTGCCTGGAATTTTAACTGGTTATACCAGGGATACAATTGCTCACTTTAATCCCCGAAAAGCAGATGCAGGATTTCGACAATTATGGGAACGTGTTCCGCTGCAAAAAGGGGATGTCATTAAGCGGAGATAGGGGAATTTACATACTCTCATTAATTTAAAGGAAAACGAAATAACCAATGGAATTTAATTGCATATAAAGTGAATTTGTATAGTTAAAATATTTTTTTTTTTTAAATATATAATACAAAATATTATATATTTAAATATATAATATTTAAATATATAATACAAAATATTATATATTTAAATATTAATTAGATAAATACTGAAATATTGTTTGGGGAGCAGGAAAATGTAAACTATTGCAAAGTACTTCTGTACAGCTAAAGAAAACCCATAAGAAACCATAAATGCGGCAAAAGAACAATTCCCTTCGAGGTTTTTTGGGTCAAACCTTTTTGTCTTCGGCCCAGGGGCTAAACCATCCCCCCAATAACCCACCCAACTTTGTGGTTTTCTCCCGACGCCACCCTCTCCCAAAAACCAAAGCAACCTTCAGCCTTCAAGTAGTTCTTAGAAAGTAATAAAAAAAAAGAAACCCGTGGAAAAAAGCGGCCCTCCTAGAATAAAACTTTTTTATTTGCATTTTGTTTTAAGCAATGGTGGGAGACAGAGACAGAGAGAGAGAAAAGTGAGACCAACTCTGTTTCTGTTTCGGGTGTTTTTTATCCACTTTTTTTCGGCTGGTTGTTTCTTCTTTGTTTTGTAGAAAAATGCACAAGTTTTATGGTAGCATAAAAGTTTTTGTGGGCAAAACTTTGCACTTGTCTTGCCGAAAGGGTTTTACAATGATGCGCTATATGCGACACGCCCCCCGCCCCCTTTCCTTACAAACTGTCCAAGTGGGCGTGTCGAGCACTTAATATTTCTGGCATATCATTAGGCGAGTAGCATCCACGAAATATCCACGAAAACTGATTTTGGGGTGCTCTATAAACTTTTTTTCTCCTTTTTCTTTTCTTTTTTTTTTCGGGCCGTCCCGAAATGTGACACTCAGTCAGTGGTTACTTAACCCCAGAAAGCAGAACGCAACGCAACTTTCGGCTGACCACTCGGAATGACTAGCATGCATTATCATTAAAATAAATTATTAGAGTCCAGTGTGGCCACAAACTAAAACGCATTTTGCACGTTTTGTGTGCGAGAATTTTTTACACGATTTTTACAACTTTTTTTGCGGTTGCGCTAAGTACACAAAAGCATTCTGACTGCAAAAAAGAGGGGAGGATTTTGGGGGCCATGTTGTTTGGTGTTCGGTGTATGGTGTATAGGGTGGTTAGAAATAAAAAGTCAAGTTGAATGCGTTTAGAGTTAGGATGTAGCATTTAGTTAACCCACAAGACGCACACAAGAAATAACTTTGCATACTTTTAGGCAGCAGCAGCAGAAGCTCATGTTAAATACTAATGCAGGAAAACGGACCTGGGCCATCAAAAGACAATGAAAAGGAGGGGTGGCGAGTGGAAAGTGCGCTGGAAGCCACGTAATTTCTCAAGTAACCTAACCACGTAAAGCATAAAATATTTGCCTTTGAGTCGGGTGGGCAAAAGTATGTCCAAGAAGTTGCCAGTTGCCCAGTTGCCGCAAAAACAAGTTGCAAGCCGCTCATTTGAATACCCGGCTACGAACTCGGACATGCAAACAACTTTGACCACGCATTTGTTGGAGGCTGTAGATGCAAGTGGTGAGCAGAATAACCGGTTGATCGAACATCGTAATACCCTATTTTAGAAGTTATCAGAAACACGAGAGTACTGATGTCTAGAACCCGCATTTACTAACTACCCTTGTAAGCACTAGCATAGTTATAATAGTTTAAGCCATGTAGAGAAAGAAATATTCACAGGGTATGTTTAAAAGATATTAAAAACCTCAGCTAAAATGTTTCGGTTCTTGGAAATTTAATTTTAGAAAAAAAAACACTTCTTTTAAACTATTTATTGCCAAAAAAGCAAAACGACTTTCAAAGTCGTAATACCCAGTAAAAGCAGCCTAAGAAGTAGGCAAAATAAAAGGCATAAAGGAGCTGGACGTAGGTGACGATGCCCAGTCAGGGACAGAAGAGCAGCATCCTCCGAAGGAGTCAGCTAGTTGACTGGCCACATGCTTCATGCTGCCAGGCACATGCAATTTGTAAGCCAAAGCGCATAATTTACAACGGGGAGAGCCCCGTCTTCTTGGGGTCTTGGGGGTCTTGAGACACAGCAAACCCAAACTCAAACCGTCTTGGCCAATGAAGTGCCGGTTGCGGCCGGTTCATCTTGGGTTCCCGGTCCCCCAAAGGAGAATCGCTCGAAGTTTTGACCCAAGGAGGCGGCTAACACCGATTGTGGTTGCCCTCAAGAAAAACAGTGCTTAGGTTGGCCAGAGAGAGAAAGCTGTGATTAATAGCCGAAAGTAAAATAAATATTTGTTTAGTTTAACTCAAAGGGATTTTGTGATTTGGTATTAATTTTATTTAGAAATAACTGCGAATTGGAAATCTTTTTAAAACGTCCCTAAAAGTATGCACTGAACTTTCGAATGTAAAATATTTGTGGCATACTTTTAGATGCGTTTTTAAGTGATTTTGGCTTAAGATTATTTTTAAGTTTAGAGATATTGATGTTTGCATTGGGAAACCTATCTGGAAATGCAAGCCCCAGCCCTCCCACTCATTTGCATGCCTGTGAATTGTACCGCTGTCACGGGACTACTTACCGGGGGCCTATCTGCCCGACTTAGTTCTTCAGTTTATTCTTTTTTCGGGGATGCTGCGACCCTCGTGTTTCGGCGCAGCAAACTCTCGAGGAGAAGCGGAGTGGCAGTGGAGCCCGGGATTCGCGTGGGCTTAAGTGTCCCGGGCCAAAGGAGTGGCGAGTCAAGTGGCCATGGTCATAAAAAGACTAAAAGGGCTGTGGAAGTAGGAAGTACGAGTACGAGTAAGCGGTGTCCGCAAGAAAATAACTTGTAGCAAATTAAGTTTGTTAGTAATTAGAACACCACTAAGGACACCTGAGCGCCGGTTGAATTTATACTCGTGCCCGGGCCAAAAGGCAGGACAACACACAACAATTAAACTTGCCGCCTCTAATTCCACCTCCTCCATTTTCGGTTGCCGGCTCGAGTCCTTCGTCCTTCTAGCTTCCTGTCCTGTCTCAGGTAAAAGGTAAAGTAACAAAAGTTCCGCCAAGTCCACCAAGCTTGCCTTGTCGAAAATTCCTCAACTCGAAAGTTGCCAACTTTGATGTTCCAAGAAGACGGGCGAAAAAGGAGATGCATTTTTCAGGGGGCGGGGCAAAAACAACCGTCAAGTGCATGCCTGGACATCGGCCAGTCCCGGCTTCGTCCCGCTTAACCCATTGACTACCGGCAGTCGAAAATGCCAGCAGTGGCTTTCGCAGCAATAGCTTTTAAATTAAATCAAAATTATCTAAGAATTTTCTGTCTAAAAAAAAATGTTATGTCGTTTTTCAGATTTTATTCACAGTATTTCTCAATTTGAAATATATTATTGCATACTTTAAAACACTTTTCCTCTGATATTATAAAGTGTATTATCTACATATCATAAACGCACGCTTACTTAAGTGCCCCACGTTGGGCGCCAAAAATATTTATGTGATCGGGTAAATTCTAAACAAATTATTTATAATATGTTTTATCTTTTAAATGCCCCACGTTGGGCGCCACAAATGTTTATGTGATCTGGGAAAATCCAAACAAATTATTTCTTCATAAAATATTTCTAAGTAAAGAAACTCTTTTAAACTGCATTGCCAATAATTTCAAAGAGATATGTATGTCCAAGGGTTAACCATCGCACACTCAACTCGCCCAGCACTGCGGCCAAGTGGCAAAAGTTTGGCAGCTTAAGGAGCAGCAGAAAGCAGTTCAGTTGACCCAAGTACACAACGCTTCCCAGGCGAACGAACAGGTACTTTGTGGCGTGCGTGGGCCGGGGAAATGGAAAAGTAGCACTGGGAGGATCTTTGAGGACAGGACATTAGCAGCAGGGCCGCACCGAAACTAAGCAAACACTAATATGTATACCATCATACCACATACTTAAAAATGTTTACACATTCAGACGATGCAAATACCACTCATTGCTTAATAATTTAATATCCTACTGCCCAGGAAGTACTTAAATTTAACTTTACTAAGCTACGCACATTTCGTTAGTCACGATTTTAGTTTTCATCGAAGTTCCAGTCGACCGGCTGTCATATATCCCCCTGCTCCCGAATCGTTTACTATCTGGATCGATTCTTTCTTTCTAAAAGTACATGCTTTGCCTCGTTGATCTTGGCCGCCAGATATGGTGAGCCGTTGCGATCCGGATGATTGGCCAGGATCACCCGGCGGTGGGCCTCCCGAATTCGACTCCACGGGGCGCTCAGGCTAGTGCCCAGAATTTGTGACGCCTCCCGAGGCGTCATCCGCTCCTGAAGATAAAATAAAATAATAAAAAAGGAGAGAAAAATTAAAAAAACCTAAACAAATAAATTATTCAATGAATAAACAAAGAAAAAAATTAATAAATAAATATATAAAGAAAATAATAAATTAATTAATGATGCAAAAGAATTCGCGAAACATTAGATTTAGCTAAAGAATTCGCGTTTGCATTTTATGGGGATAATTTAAAACGGCTATTAGTTTAATCTAAAGAATTCGCGTTTGTAAGTATATACTATTTTAATTTTAAGGCCATACCAACGATTTAAAGCTGAATGCTAAAGAATTCACGACATACCTGAAAGCCGCCGCTGTAAAAGCGCCTGGTGCCGATATTTCCGAAGGCCGATTTCCACAGCTGACCAATCCGGCCGGAGGCGTTGGGCAATCTGAGGGCGGCCAATCCGCAGGCGGCCACGCCCACTGCCACGCCCAGTCCCATCAAACGCAGCGAGTTACTAACGGTCTGCGAGAATTTACTAGTCTGCATTTTAAAACCGAATTGAGGAAAAAACAATATGAAAATGTTATGTGTGTGAATTTATAAGAAATGACAGGAAAATCAATGAAGCCCTAAAACCTTTAATTTAAATTTCAAAGCTATCCCTTTTTCAAGCAGACCGACCGACCACCAATCAAAGTGAGGCAATCAATTTAAGCCTTCTTAAAGTTTCCATCAGGCAGACAAAAGCCCGGCCACACTTTCACTTTATTAACACCAAATTAATTTTGTCTCAAAACGAAAATACATACATTCTATATATGTATGGAATCCAAAGAAACCCCCCGAAACTGAGGAGTTTACACACATGAATACATTTCGTGCACAGTCGAGTGCAGCGATTGAATTTTAAACAAGAACGACAAATGCCGGCAATCAAGTCAAGTCGAATCAAGTCAAGGAGGAAAATGAAAATGAACTTGGGAAGGAACGACGACGGGTGCTATAATCAATATGCAGCAGTCAATAAGAAGGAGCAACAATTACGCAGGACCTGTGGAAATTTCGAAGGGGGTTGAGGTCCTTTTGGGGTTTGGTTTCGCCCCATAGTTTTGCAGTGTGCGTCGGTTAAATGATGTGTAATCGTCTTATGTGCACTCGAATGCCTTTTGGCTTCTAATATGGCCGGGCCAGCAAGGACCCAGGACTACGGGACTTCGGCACACACACAAAGGACAAATAAGGACAAAGGCCGGACCATCCGAGGACCCAAGATCCTTACACACACAACGACAATAGAAAACTTTGCCATAGGCTGACCTCAAAATGCACAACGACACAAACTTTAATTTACAATCAATTCAGGCGTGAATAATAAACCACAAGAAACCAAACAGAGAAGTGAAAGTGTTGCCCTTTGTCCTCTCGAAAATTTAGTTACAACACACAACACCAAAAGTTTGCCAAGTTTTCGAGGCAAACAAACGAAACGAAACGAAACTCTCCTCCAAAACATCTCGTACCCCGAATTTTGAATTTACCCGAAAACCGCAACACTTCCGCCTTTCGAGCATCCTGTCCGAAATCCGAAGGACAGGAAATTCCTGCCAACTTCCAGGCTCCTCGGCTATCAATATTGTTTTCCTATTAAATTGATCATTGGTCAGTCAACAATTGCGGCCAGGTCCTTTGTCCGTTGTCCTTTTGACCACCACACACGATTGTCTGGCCTTTCCAGGCCACTGGGAAAAACAAATGGGTTCTCCTTAAAATTTTAAGTGTTCCAACAGTTTTACCTTATCAAAATAATACAAATTTAATAGGTACTTGAATTTCCAACATAGAAGATATAAATATTTTATAATATTTCATAGTCTAATCCACATTTTCCATCTTAAAATATCAGTTTTTTGGCCGACACAACAAAAATATTTATCCAAATATGGATTGTCATACCTTTCTGAACTCGTTATTAAATTTCCAATCGATTGGCATTTAAACCTGAACATTTTATTTTTTGGCCATTTTTTGCAAAAAATCATGATTAAAAAATGGACAAATATTTCAAAAAATAAATTTCTCAGAAAGTGATGGGGATCGTTAGTTTAGGTAGTTAGCTGCTCAAAACAGGCATTCTTTTAGCTCTGGGCCTTAATTTGTCCAAATTACGACTGAAAAACCAAAAAAAATTAAATTTTAACTATTTTTTAGGCTGTAAACAAAATATTATAAATTAATTTTTTTTAACACGAAAAATATATTTCTTTTCCATCATATTTCTAGTATTTGTTTTAAATAAAATTTTAATTTTGTTCTTTTTAACTATTACCTCTTGGAATAATTTTTTGCGGTGAAGTGGAAATTCCTGTTGCATCGGCAATGCAGAAATGCAGGCCAAAAAACGTTGGCTGTTAGATATTTGCGGCCTCCAGGCAATGTCAATCAATTGCGGATTGGGAATCGGATTCATCGAGGAAGTGTGAGGTGCTCAAGTGGGTAAACAAAAACAGTTGCCTACTTACAGGCGCTCGATGGGGAGGGCAGACAGGAGGATATCAGAGCATCAGGACATCGGGTGGAGCAGTCAATCAGTCAGTTCCTGGTTCGCTGATCTGTGAGCTTGTGAGAGGTCCTGCGACTCCCATGATTCCTGCGAGTCCTGTGAGCTGCTCTATTTGCTTCAACACCCACTGCAAATTAAATTCATTAGTCAACTTCCGGCTGGGAAATGTGGAAGTGGAAGGGGCGAAGGGAATGTGTTGCCATGTGCTGGCTGCTGTCAATTCAGACGGATTTGAAGTCAACTCAATTTGAAATCAATAGTGTGTGAATAATCCTTTCACACCGACACACCGACGCACATGCTATGTGTGCATCTAATATTCCCCATTCCCCGGAGAGTTGGGGGTAAATTGCATCTGGTGCCTGGGATTGTCTAGTCTGGATGGCTGGATAAATGGCTGGATGGTTAGGATGGATGGTTGGAGGACTGACTGACTGACTGACTAACTGGCTGCATGGGCACTTGAAAACGTTTTTGCATTGATTGCACTTCATATCAGCCAGCCAATCCAGTCAGTGATTCGTTCATTCATTCATTCATTCACTCGCTCAAGCAGGCCGTTTATTCATGCCACTCGCATATGTTGCATCCTCATTTTTTGGGTTGGAGGATTCCCAAAACCCCAAAAACCCAAACCCAAGTAGACATGGCAACCAAAAAAGGCAAGCCATTAAACGATGACGACGATGAAAGTATTTAAGCAATTCAATGGCATTTCAAAAACACCACACGGTAAACGAAAAGTTATGTTAATGCGACCAAAAAATATAGTAGTTAATATTATTGACATATCACCCCAGTATATTCATAGAGTGCAGTCTTAATTTACAATAAAAGATAGAAAATTATAAGAATTATTATTATTATATGTGCCAAAATTATGCAGTAAATAATTTCCTGTATGAATTCATATCTCTTTTGAGTTAAACATATTTTGTTGCATACTTTCAGACACCAATGTTGACATTTAAAGGTTTAATATGTTATAAAATATATAAATTAGTCTTCCAAATTTATAGAAATTTTCCAAACTAACTGTCGCTTTTTTCTTTAAGTGGAGCACCACCTGCACCACCTCCCACAGCGGCAGCTGCACCACTTCATCCCGTCGAGTGGCAAGCAATGAGCTATGCATGCAATTCAAGTGCCACATCTGCAACTGCAACTGGAAATGCAACTGCAATTGCAGCGACTGCCTTCCGATTCTGAATCCGATTGCGATTCAGATTCGGATTCACGGGGGGAAGGCCCAAAAATTTCGGTTGCTCTGTGTTTTTTGGGGGCTCTCTGCAGATCGAGGGGCAATCCCATTGCCATTCCCATGTGGCACCACCACTTGCTATCTGTTTGTGTCCGTAATTGTGCATAATTGAGTTGAGGCCTCCACTTCCAAAGGTTTTTTGTTTGGCCAGGCAAAATGGCAGAAAGGGATGCTGCAGTATGGGTTTTCCGAAAATTATTACAGGCAGTTTAATTGGATTTAAATGGAGAAATCATATGTACTTAAATTTATTGAGAAAATTCGCTGGAGATTTGGAAATCGCATGTTTGGGTGTTGAAAAGTATGCAACATAATATATTTATTGCCTACTTTCAGGCACTTTTTTGAGTGATTTAAAACCTTTTTTTTTATATCACAAAGCTGGCTTTGATTTGAATCAAATAAAATTCCAGGCCTCGTAACTTCAGTTTTTGTTTGTTTTTCGTTTGCATAGCACTCAATCCATTCGCATTTGGAATAGAAAATACACGGCATTTGTCTTGGAACGAAAAGCGCTGGCGATGGATGTAGACTACACTCTGGGTATCGTTGGCTCTCGTCGAAGGATCCAGCGAACGCTGATCAGCTGCTGCGAGCATCTGCTCGAAATGGCCCTGATTTTCACCTACGAAAGTGCTCAATTCCTGCGCCGTTTGTGGCTGGGAAGCGGTGGTCAAGAAAGCACGCAAGAATCTTCTTCTGGCGATGGCTTCGAATGGAATCGACCATATCTCAAGAGATCCGTAGCCCCGAGATCTCGGAATTCAGGTGGCGAAGGGGATTATATAAGGGGAGAGGATACAAAAATCATCTCCCAACTTCCTCGACTTGTGAGCGTTGCCTGCGGCTTTGCCAAGGATCAGGCCGTTTATCCTCAATACAATCGTGGGAAATTCGGTGAGGATGCCTGGTTCATCACCTCCACTCCACACGCCCACATAATGGGCGTGGCCGACGGGGTGGGCGGCTGGCGGAGCTATGGCGTCGATCCCGGTGAGTTCAGCTCCTTCCTCATGCGATCCTGCGAGCGTTTGTCGCGATCTCCCGACTTTCTTCCCCAAAGACCCGATTTGCTGCTGGCCAGCGGCTATCGCGATCTTTTGGGCCAGAAATGCCCCATCGTGGGCAGCTGTACCGCCTGCATTCTGTCGCTGAATCGAAGGAATAGCACTCTGTATACCGCCAATATCGGCGACAGTGGCTTCCTGGTGGTGCGTTCCGGTGCGGTGGTCTGTCGATCGCGGGAACAGCAGCATCACTTCAACACGCCCTATCAATTGTCCTCGCCGCCGCCGGGTCATGAGCTCAACGTCCTGTCCGATGGCCCGGAATCGGCGGACAGCCAGCACTTTCCCGTCCAACCGGGCGACGTCATCCTGCTGGCCACCGATGGGGTGTACGATAATGTGCCGGAAAGTTTTCTTATAGAGATCCTCAGCGAAATGGCGGGCATTTCGGAGGCCGTGCGGCTGCAGATGGCCGCCAATGCGGTGGCCCTGATGGCCCGAACCCTCAGCCAGAATCCGAATCACGACTCGCCTTTCAGTCAGAATGCCCGGAGGCTCAATATCGAGGCGTCGGGCGGAAAGCCGGATGATATTACTGTCCTTCTGGCCTCGGTTGTCTAGGGAAATAGGTAGATCGGGCTGTGGGTTTGGAGAAAGGATATAGGGATAAGTGGAAGAACTGTGGGTGCCTTGCTGAATATATTTCAAAAATATTCACTGGCCGTAGTTCTTCCCTTATCACTTGGACTCTTAACCCTAAGTCTCCAGTCCGTCAGCCAAAATCACGTTTTTCACCGCTCCTCGTTTTTAACTTTCAGTTCGAAACAATGCTATGTAAAAAAAAATATATTTCTAAATTGTTTTAGGTGTAATAAAATCTTAGTTTTATTTTAATCTATGTTTTTAAATTATTTTCAAAATAATTTTCTCAGCGAATGTAAGTGCTTGTGAGTTTTTCTTTTGCCTGTTTTTTTTTGTCCTTTGTCCAAACAAAGTGTTCAATAAACCCCGAACAAGTTGAGAAACAAAAATCTGGGGAAAATGTCAAGTGAGTGTCGGTGGCCCTAATAAACTTAATCAAATTTTTACCATCTACGTGCACTCCTTGCACCGCTGTCCTCGTCCTTTTCCCCGCCCTTTTGGTCCTGCCAATGTGTGACGTGACATACGATATTTGAGTTTGGAGTTTTGTGGCTTTTAACTTGATTTTTTTAGCTCAGCTTTTAACCCCCGCCTTTGTGTCTGCCATCTATGAGGTGTTAATGCTTTGTAAAGTTTGCAGAAAAACCAAAAACAAAAAAGGCGAGGGAAAAACTGAAAAAAAAAACAAAGAACTCAAAGGCAGAAACCAAAGTTGAAGAATTCCGAGTGAGAGTTTCGGGGGATAGGACACACAGAAAACCTTGCCATCAAACAATAAAAAATAACAGCAAAAAATAAAAAAAAGAGAGAAAAGAAATTCCCAACCACAAAGCATTTTTATGAGTTTCGTGTGTGTGAGAGTGTGTCCGTCTCTTTCACACACCCCTAGCGCTGTCTCTTTCCATTTACTGCTGCACTTTTTTATTTTAAGTGGCTTTTACTTAGTAGGGCCAAAACTTGGCACTAACTTTGTGGAAACCGGAGCATTAAGAAGCTGCTATACCAAGTTTGATTTTCCATTCGTATAAATTATACTTCTTAAGTGATTTTTTTAAATACTCAATAACATTCTGATTTATAAACTTATTTTATAAAGAAATTCACCTGCCTACCTATAATTACTATCTATTTCCAAACTAAACTTTAATCTTTAAGACTTTTACATTAAGTATCCGAAACTTTTTTGCACCCCCCAAAAATAAATGAAAAGTTTGCGCCCCAAAAACCCAAGCAGATTTAAGGGGTCAAAAGAGAGATGGAGTTGAAATAGTTTTATTTCAATTAACAAGAGAAATTCGATGAGTTTATTTGTTGTGCGTGCTGAAAATGGGAAATGGAAATGGAAAATGGGGAAATGTGCGGAGAACTCGGCGTTTTATGCGACACAAGATAAGAGCGATGGCGACGGCCAAGAATTTAATGCCCGTTTCGGTCGAGTGTGTGTGCGATAATGTTGACAGATAATAAACTGGGAAAATTACAAAATTACAATCAAACATGGGTTTCCCCCCCGAAAAGCGTAACCCATATGAGAGGGACATTTGCAAAAATGTTGTACTGAGAAAGGGGTTCTTTTCGGAGGGGTTTGGGGAGGGGGTTTTATGCTGGGGTCTCCGTTCAGAAGAATGATGCTGCTAATGGCGGACCATTGTCGAGCGGAAATGCCGGGTGTCCTCGCTCTTCGGCTGAATACGGCCCCAGAATTTCCAGCAGCCAACGTAAATTTGCCGCCGCAAAACTATTCAATTGAAAGTTATTTACGTTTATTGTTTTATTCCAGCCTTTTGCTTTTTGTTTTTGTATGGCTTGGAAGAGATAGCCAGAAATGTGCCCTTAAATTTTATAAAATGTTTCTGTCAATTGAGAGCAATTTGCAGGATGCATTGAAAAATATTGTAAAATATAAGCAAATGTTTTTATATCTACATTACTAATATTTATACAGCTATAATTTTCAGGATTGGTACTTAAACAATGCGCCTTGATTTGTCGAAACTAAGATTGAAAAATATAAAAAATATCCAAATTTTCTGGCCTAAAAAATCTGTTCTTTAATCCGACATGGTGGAAAATAAGTTCCAAATGGCGAGTGCCATACCTCGCTAAGCTCGTAACTAAATTCCCAATAGATTGGAATTTAAAAATAAACATTTTAATTTTGTCCAATTTTTCGCAAAAAATCATGAAACCCAGATCCCAATTTCCACAAAAAAATAATTCTTTTTTTACCATAACAATGGAAATATTGATCCAAATATGGATTGTCATACCTTTCTGAACTCGTTGTTAAATTTTCTATCGATTGGCATTCAAATCTGGGAATTTTACTTTTTTTCCATTTTTCGTAAAAAATCATGATGTACCCCCTTACAAAAAAATTGAAAATTTGCGAAAATTTTATTTTTGCAGGATCACCCGGAAAGTGTTATGTATTTTTGTATTTTTTAGTTATCTGTTCAAAACAGTATTCATTTTGGGTGTAGGACCATTTTTGGCTAAGTTATTCTAAAATATAAATAATTTTTTTTATCTAAATACAAATATTTCCCAGCTTTAAGCAATCGTTTATTTAATCCTGGACAATTAGGCATCGGTTTGATTTATGGCCAAATGCCATTAAGTGCTCGATTCGTCGAGCCTTCATCTTCATCTCTCTGGCTCTGACTTTGGCTGTGGCTCTGGCTCCATTTATATTTCCATTTCCCTGTGCCAAAAATGCGAGCCAGACTCTTTGGCCAAATCTATACTTCCGTTGTTAATCATTGGCATCACTTAATGGCCCCTTCCGACTTCCTTTCGAGGAATGCAATCAGCTAGACAAGCGCATGGCTCCAGTTCCATTTTCATGCCCCCTTCCCATTTCCCAGTGCTTTTCCCCACTCGAGTGCTTTTCCTTTTCGCTTTTCAAGGGAACAGCGAACACGCCCTTCAATTACAAATCACGGGATATTCACGGGATATTCGCAGGACTCGCCTGCCCAGATAATCTGCTAAAGGACTTCCGACCGGTGCGTGGCAAAGCAAAGAAACGAAACGGGCAAAAATAGAGATATATATATATGGTGGGTATATTTTCGTATATATACCAGATAAACGGAGCAACTGGCACGGGACTCTGCTACTGAAATCGCAATGATATACGGCCGTGAAATCGAATCGCAACTGAAAGGGGGGATGACGGGGAGCACTGCACAAAAGGCTTTAAGTTCCAGGATCCCCGATCCTTGGGCCGCTCGACAAAATCAACAGACTATGGCCACGAGCCGCCAGACTCGAAGGTTTCTCACTTGGCGTCGCCATTGTGCATTCAAAGCACTGGGGAAAAAATGTATAAAAATATATTTCGATTTTATATAAGAGATTTAGCACGGTATAATTTTTAAAAAATATAATATAGACAGTCTAAGTTCCAATACTATTTTTTATCATAGAAAATATATTACAATAAAATCAAATATTTTTAAGGAAAAAAAATACAAACAACATAGTTTTTTAATTTATAAAATAAGTAAATTTCAAAACACAAATCTTTAAAGCTTTGTAAGCAATATTCATGCAGAAATTTATTATTTATATATTTATATATATATATTTTTATTTTTATAGAAATTATTAATTGAATATTTATTTTATTACCTTATTTTTTTCACTTTCTGGCAGTGCTTAGATTTCTTGGCCGGCGCGGCCAGAAAGAATTTATTGCTCCTTGAGGCCGTGTAGCGTGTCCGAAGGACTCAGCGGGTTGCATGTTTCCCTGGCCCCCCGAAAATCCTCCTGAATTTTTCGAAAGTCCTTCCTGCTTCGTCCTTTGGCCGTTTAGGCGTTGGCATTGCGTTTTCGACGGCCGTGTTGAAATTGACAGCAAAATAATTGCTTGATTATTTATGAGACGCGACTTTGGCCAGACAGAAGGCAAACGCAACAGGATTTGAGTGGTGTGATTGCTCTGTATAAATATATATCTACGCTCCTGGTGATCCATTAGGCCTGAGCCTCTGTGTCCCTGCCTCTCTGATTCCTATCCAAATAGTTATTCAAGAAATTCAAATTGTGGTAATTAAAAATGGTCAAACACATGCTGGCCCAGGCACTTGACATATGGGGTAGCCAAAGCGCCATGGCCAGGAACGAAATCAGAATCCAAATCCAAATCAGGAGCAGAAAACAGGACCGGAGAGAACCGGTGACGTGGCCAGGACGAAAAGGAGCAGGAGCTTTGGCTTCGCCTGCGGCTGGCTGTTATTATTTTTGTCACTGACAAAGCAAATCACCAGAAACCAACAAAGGGTCTCTGGTCCACCTCCTTCGGTAGCCCCCCAAATCCCCAATCTCTGACCCCCTAACCCCTTTGCCCCCTTTGGGGTAAGCCCCCCTCCTTGGCCCACAGAAACCGGAGGCGTAACAAACGATGCCGCAGAAAAACCTCGTAGGCCCGGGCTCAGTTTCAGGCCCCTAAAACTCCTAGGACCCCTGTCCTGTCCACTGAGAGAAAATCTATAAACCAAGAATGGTAAGTGAAATTACAATTAAAATAATAATTTCATTAATAAAATGTTTCTAATTAGAATTAAATTTTTTTTTAAGGTATCAAACAATTATTCTTTATCTGCGGTATAAGAAGAAAACTACAATAAATACAAGAATCTTTAAAGTAAATACTTTCCTTCCTAAAAAAAATATACCTATGAAAGAATACAGAAATGTCAGCATATAAAAAATAAATGTTAGGTTCATTAAAAAATATATTATTCTTAAGTCAGAATCTTTAATTACATATATCTATCTATAATCTATATCCTATCTACAGTCAATAAATATATATTGTAGGGATTTGTATGAATAAAACTTAAATTACAATAAATAAAATTGTAAGGCAATATATGTATTTATAGGTAATTCCTAAAAGACTATAATTTATTATTTCTTATAATGTAAAGGGTTCTTAAACCGGTTCTTGCAATTTCTAGCACGTAATTTAA